AAAAAAAAAAAAAAAAAAAAACTTTCTGCTTGTTTTTTCTTCTCCAGAGAAATATTAATACGTTTAAAGCAATCAAAAGTATCCGACAATAAGCTTAAAAATGGCAACCAATGAGCAGTCCAACATTGCGTTCAATCTGTCATCTATTAAACCGTCATTGCCCTTTCAAAAGCTGTTGCCGGTTGTCTGATGGAACGCTAAAACCATCCCGAAGTGTTTAACAAAATTTTCCATCTCCTTCACCCTTCCAGTCGCCGTCTTCCTCCGTATCGCCATCACCGTTTCCCAGCATTACGAAAGCCATTTTTTTCGCCAGTTTGCCACTCCAGTAAACTTTCGTTCCCCTTTCTCCCTCACTTCCGTCTTTGACACGTCGACTTCATTATGGGATGGATCGACAAAACGTACGATCAAAAAAAAAAAAGACAACAGTTGTTACTGAATGCTTATTTACAACCATAAACCCGTTAGACATGGATCAACGATAGCAATTAAAAATATTAATTTTTACCGTAATGGTGCCAAAATTTTTCTCACAACTTTTTTTGCACCAGTTCAAAAGGCAACTGGCTGTGAAATGTGTTACAGTTTTTCATAATCATGATCCAGCAAACAAAAGTATATTCTTTAACAAGGCAATTTACTACTTTTAGTGAAAAAAAAAAGTCTAAAAGTCAAGAAACGGGATACAATTTGCAACTTTTCAAAGCACTAAAATTTGTTAAAGTTGTCGCTATTAAGACAAATGTTTTTTCCCATTCAAATCAACTTTACCATTTCAAAGCCACTCTCATCAGGAATCCATCGCTATTACAATCACTTTGCAATCAGTTTACATGACGACAACAGAACAAAAGAAGATGACCTTTAAAGGAATTAAATAAATAACAGGGTACGCTGCAAAAGTACACTTTAAGGACTCCTGAGCAATTGAGAAAGAATGGCAACTTTTGTTTTGACTAATACATTTACAACTCGGCAGTAAAACCTGGCCAAGTTTGGATTCTAAATGCCGGTGGAAAAATCATCCACTCTCGTGAGGTGACAGAACGTGCCAGTTTTCAATTAAATTTTAAGGTTGCTGAATAAAGAATTGTGAGTGTTTGTGATCGCGTTGAAAAAACATGTTAAGGCTTTCACTCCCTGGGGTTCTAAAATAGGGTTTTTGAGAATAATTTTATTATAAAATTCAAACTACACTAAATTTTTTGCAATTATTTTTCAGCTTTCTTCATTTTTTTTCACCTTTCATTATGGGAAAAAAGGCGTCACTCTGTTTATTTCCAGTTATAAAAGCTCTAGTGTTTACTCAAAGTTGGTCTGCTGTAAGGTAATGGCTCCTGCTGTGTCACTGTCAAATAAAAAAAAAAAAAGTAGACATTAAAACAACCTAATTGACAAATCTAAAGTTAGATAACAAAAAAGTGAACTAAGCATTGTATATCTGTTTGAACACAGATAGCACAGACGAGGATTAATTAGGTTTGAACTTTTTTCAGTGCAAACTTTAGTGAACTTTACAGGAAGAAGTGAACAGAACTGCTATAATTTCAAACAACTTTCTCGCCTTTTCAAGCATCTCTTTAGATATGTTCATTCAGTCAAGAACTACGAGACACCTCATGCGCACCTTTTGAAATACTTTCAAATTTTGTGTTATCCTTTTAAAAACCCAATTTTTAGGTGGTTTTAAGAATGTTTCAAATTTAGCGATCAAAGACTTCTGACGCTTTCAGTTCTCTTCTTTGGTTTACAAACGTTGAAAAAATATTTAATTTTAACCTAATTTCAAGAACTTAATTTTTTTCCTCTTTGCACCAATCGATCAGCAATGCATAAATTATTTGATTGATTACTCATTTATAATAAATTGTAAATTTATCATACAATATTATTCTACACTGAGAACATATTCTGATACTTTATCTTCTGCAGGCTCAATACCAAACATACAAAAAAAAAAATAGTGTTTCGTCAAAACGGTATAGGATAATGGTGGCACAACCAAATGTACCTCAGAAACTG